GGGCGGGGTCATGGCCACACCCTGACCCCGGGCCTGAGGCGAAAAAGGGGGGGGGGAGGGAGGGAGGGAATCACAGAAAGGGGCACTGGCAGGGACCTCTAGAGGTCCTCTAGTGTCTACTCCAGCCCCTGCTTGAGCTCTGGCCAGACCCTCTGGTACAACCACTAGAAGCTAAAAAGCAAAGGATTTTCCCGCCAGGGGGCTCTGTACTGCTGGGGAAAAAGCCAACAGGTACAGAGACCCCCTGGCAGACGTTCGCAGTTGTGGGTGCTGCGAGAAAACTTGGTACGAGAGGGTCTGGCCAGGGCTCAGGCAGAGGCTGGACTAGACACTAGAGAAGGGGTCAAAAACATTTTTGAACAGAGTGCCAAAACACACAGCCTTGGCTTGTAAGATGTTGGTATTCCAAGGTCGGACAGTGCAGGGTGCTGAGGGGCCCGATCCTTGTTGTGGCAGCACAGCTTCAGCCCCTACCCCACCATCTGCCCCGAGCTGCGTGTGCCGAGCAAAATGCCTTTGCATGCCACACTTAGGCACCCATGCCGGGGGTTGCTTACCCCTGCACTAGAGGACATCTGGAGGTACCTGCCAGCTCCACTTCTGTGCGATTCCCTCCTTCCTCCCCCACTTTGCCTCAGGCCTGGGGCTGGGGGCTGGCCATGTCCCGACTCACTGTTCGAGCAGCAAGCGGGGTGGAAAGCCAAGCAGACCCTGGCTGGAGTCCTGCACTAGTGGGAGACAGGAGGGAGTGGGGATTAAACCCCACCTTCCCCTCAAAATACTGGCATCTGGCCATGCCCCCTGCTTCCCCCTTCTCCTGCTGCTGGAGCAGCAAGGGGGCATTCTGGAGCAGGGTTTCCCACCCCTACCCTCACCCCTTTCTCAGCCAGCTGGAGCAATTATAGTGCTCCAGCTAGGGAGGAGAGGGGTGGGGCCAACCCTGCTCCACTGGAGCAGACGGCACAGCACAGCCCAGGGCTACAAAGCATCCTGGGATAATGGGGGACTGTGAGTTAGCTTAAACCAGGAAGGAGTCTGGGACAGAAGTTCTGTAAACCCTGACCTGAATCTGTTAAGTCTGATACTACATTCAGCCAGGTTTATCTTAAACGAGTTTCAGCCATTTTGAAGTGGTTGAAAAGGGAAAGGAGTGGTGCTGATTGGGAGCATGAGTCATTCTATGTCATAACTGCACCTGTTGTAGAAGTTAAATTTCTGTAAACTTAACTTTCAGTAAAACAGTCCTTGGTGCACTCGTTAAACCTGCTGCATTTTAATATTGATGTAGTTCTTATATTTTTCTATAGCCATAGCCCACTTACTTTGTAGATTTGGATAAGATAATTGCCTAGGGTGAAGTCAGTCATCTGGAAAGCCTGAAACCAAAGCTGTTTATTGCAAAAGGAAATCCCCGTGCCCCATTTCAGAGGAAAAGGTAGAAATCCTTCCAGTGGATGGGGCTACAATTTGTTATTTAACTTTCTTGATTCTACATGGCTGGCTTTTTATTCTCAGTACTATTATGCCACAGTGTTGTTACTGTAGCCAGCATTTCGGGACCTTACACAATCCAAAGTTTGCTGGGGATACCAAACAGACTTGAGAGAGGTCTGACATTCAGATCTGATCATAGTGAGCTCTCCACACATTAAAGGTCAGTAGAATCCCCGTGCTGCTATCTATAACCCTGGCTGTTAATGAAAAGGATTAGGGTCTCCAAGGAGTGCTCCTTTATGAAGAAATCCTCAGCTTTCTCATACTAATGTCTGAAAAATATTTGCAGCTTTATGCCAGTGAAATCCCTAGTACTGTGCATTGTTACACATAATTGATCCATTGACTGTAATATGACTGCTTGTGTGATTAGCTGCTCACTGCAATGAAAAAGGAAGTTGCAGGCTTATTTTATGGCAGCATCTATGTCTATCTATCAGTGATTCTGTGCCATCTTCTGTTTTACAGTTTCCCAAGCGAGACCACCTCCAAATCAGAAAAAAGGTAAGTTAACGTTAGCATATAAGTGCCTTTTTGTAAAGGTAAACATCATGTAATGTACATTTTTGATACTGAGTAAAGAACAAAGATGAGAGAATTTACTGTTAGATTTTGATATTCTTCCACAATTTTGAGCTCTTAGACAAGTGACTATTTTTAATTTCAGTTTGTTTCAAAAAATGGCAAATATAATTTTATTATCTCTACAGGATCTCGAACTCCCATAATCATTATTCCAGCAGCTACCACCTCTTTAATAACTATGCTTAATGCAAAAGATCTCCTGCAGGATTTAAAGTAAGTAGCTGACTAAAATATGCTTCATAAAAGAATGTCTTCAGATGTAAAGCCAGAGTAGTAATTATTCAAGAAGCAGTACCTATTGTTTCATGACAATTGAATTTTAATCTTGCAAACCAAATTCTGTAGGCCTCCTGCATGGTAGGCAAACGTATTATTAGTATGAATGTTGTTTCCCTAGGGTTGTGACCTCTGAACCAATAATTGTCTTGGTTAGAAAGAAGTGCTGTACTAAAGAAGGTTGTGGCTTTTCTTAATGTAAGTTCTGCATGTGTGACCAATCTTTCTCTGCCTACACTGTAGCACCATTTTGAAAGAGATGAAGTGTAGTCCCATTGCTACCAAAATGGAGCCTTCCTTTACTTCGTTTCTTTTTCCAGTAGTACGTTTGCTTATTAACCGAATCATTGGTAAGCAGGAAATTAGCTGCAATTCTGCTACAAATATTGAATATTTAAAACATGTTAATAAAACCAATGAAGCAACAATTTTAAATATTTTTTAGGAAAATAATCACTCTATAGAAATACTGTTGAATTGTTCAGTCCTCTTACTCCTGTCTACTATAAACCACTGTGATACAGGGTAAGGATTGTTGCTGCTTAAAGAAGCATTCCCAGTTGGTGGTATAAAATTAAATGCATTATCACCCAATAAAAAAATAAAGGAAACAGTTGACATTTGGGTTGTAGCACACAGTTTCATGCTATGTTTTTTCACATACCACACACCTTTCCCTCAAAAAAAAAAAAAAAAAAATTAACCATCCAAAATTTGAGGTGTGCATTTTAGGCAAGGAAAGTAATTTCTGTAGCTGAATGGTGGCAGGGGGCTGCTGATTTGACAGCAGGCGGATGTGCTCAGCACCAGCTCACCCAGGGCTGAATCCCCTGGTCACATGGAATAATGGTGGAGTCCCACTGTACGTGTCACTCCCTCTCCCCCCTCTACAGGCTTAACCTTCTCAAAGCCACTGCTGAATTGGCAGTGGCTGTTGGCTAAACAGCACCAGAAAGAAGGGTTGGAGCATTGGCACTGACAATACTTCATGTGGCCAGAGGTTCAGCCCCGGGTGAGCCAATTCTCTGGTAGGTAAGACTGGAAAAATCTCCCCCGATCCAAAATAAGGTGTATGTCCTACCTGGGGGTACGTTTTATGCAACCCTAGTAGGTACTTCCATCACTATGAAAATATCAGTTTTCACTTAGAAAGTACTCCTTTAAATACTCTTGGTAGAGACTGCTCAAAAAAATAAAAAAGGACAGTTCTCTGATACTGGTAGGTTGTGGACCACACACCCCATGAAGAGTTAATTTGCAGGCCCTGGGCTCCTACCTGGCTGTTGCTCCCCCCCACCTCCTCCATTCTTTTGCTATAGCAGCAGCTGGAAGCTCTGGGGGCATTTTTACATGCATTTCCAATGCATTGCCAGATGCTTTTAATTAGAGAGACGAGGCAATTAAAAACGCCTGTGTGTCATGTGCATTAGTGGGGCAGCATGTCTCCACACTGAGAAAATGGTAGCGGGGTGCTTTGAACTAAAGCACATTGAATGTGTTTTTATTTCAAAGCGCACTGCTGCCATTTTCTCAGTGTGGAGACGTGCTGCGCTGCTGATGCACGTGACATGCGAGGCTGCCAGAGCACGTCAATTTATGTGCTCCAGTAGACTCAATTAATCGAGTCTGCTCCGACACGCTGAATTTCCAGTGCATTGAAGCAGGCTTTCTGCATGTGTGCACGTGCCCTGGGCTTCCTCTCCCTCTCCTGACTACCACTTCCTGCCCCTAGAGCCCACGTGGCACAGCAGGAAGATACCCACACAGTACGCAACCCAAAATGCCCATGACTTATGCTTGTGCACCCCACGTAGTGTTTAGCTGTTGCCTGCAGGGTGTGCAGCCCATGGCTGCTTAAATGTTGGATAGCCCTACTCTAATAGACCTTCACAGAATGTATTTAACCCACTGTAAATTGAGTTTTCATTATGGCGATAAATGCATCTTGTACTTGAGTTGTCCTAGGACACTTTGTAACTGCATGGTGGTCTTTTGAAATAATCTCAGCTCATTGAAGATAAAACCACGCTGAAATATTTGGTATCAGAGGTGCAGTAGGTGAACAATGGACTTTTAGTACCTCTTTCAAGCAGCTAACTAAAAAAAAAAGAAAAAAAAGACCGTTTTACATTGAGATCTAGTATATAAAAACATTACTGTACTGGTGTAAATACACTAAGAAACATCTTTTTTCTTTTATAGAAGCAGTTTGTCACTAGAACCCCTGCTCTGGATCTAGTTTTATTAGTATATAAGAAATGTTAGAGTGTATTCCTTTCCCCATACAGGATTAGTTCCACTGATGTAAATAAAGCTTCATCCCTGCTGAGAGTTTTACTTTTAAGTTGACTAGTCCAGTTAAAATACTTTTTTTGGTATGTGTCCAAACCCTAAGAGAGAGCTGACCATTCCCTCGAAGAGAAAAGTAAAAGTGAAGATTAGAAAAGCCTGGGGAGGAGGCAGGTTTCAGCATGTATGGAAAAGGGACAGAAGAATATTTGAAAGAGGGAATTTCAATAAACTGGGAGTAGCAAGGAAGAATTCAGGAAAGCAAATGAATCATTTAACCATTCAGTTAAATTGCTACTTGGTCAGCACTTCCAGGTTCAAGGTAATTACCTTTCTCCTGGCAGCAAAGGGTGTAAATATATTTAAAGAAAAAATAAATGTTAAATAATTGAGGTTTATATGGTATCACTGTAGTACATAAGTTTTGTTGACTAACAAAAGACCAAACTAATTTTCCTGGATTACTGAGTACATTTCAGATGTACTCCACATGAAAGTTGGTAATGTGCAACTCAGGTTTAAATTAGACAGCCCAAAATGTACTCTTCAAAATTCCTGTTTTCATATGTAATAAATATGCATGCACCTTAACAGTTTGAAAAAAAAAAAAAAAAAAAAAAGATAATTTACTTCAGACTGAGTGTAAAGAGCCATAAAATTTGCTGTACTGTATTGGGTTGAGTGAAACATCTGCAAGTTTCATATTGTTCTATAGTGGAAAGCTATACATAACATGGATCTCATTCCTTTCCATAATGAGTTTTGTTTATAAATGTCGGAGGAAGTTGCACGCATATTGTTTGTACATATTTTCCAGACATCACTGGAGAGTGCTTTTTCTTTCCCCTTTCAGCTTCCTCTCTGTTTCTTTAGACAGCACACCTCCAAGACTCAAGGTGTTAATAGAAAAACAAAGCTCAGGTTCTATGAATACCTTTAATTCCATCCTGTCAGACTTTGAGAAATAGCATTTTAAAAGAGCAAGGTTGGCTAAAGTTGGAGCTATAGAACAGTGCACTTAAAGCTGCTTTTATTTAATCTGGGAGTATAATTTTCATTCATGTAACTATTTCCCTTGTCTCTTTCTAATCTTAGTGTGCTTTTAATGTTTTCTGTTAAATTGTTTTAAAAATCTAGGGCAGTGAAACCATTTTGGATGCATTTGTTTTAAGTATTAATGTTCATATGTTGCTTAGAAATTGAAAAGCATTGTATATGTGCCACAATGTTTTGTTTTGTTTTTAATTTACTACCCATAAGTACTGTCCACTGTAGCTCTTCAACCCAGACTTCCTGGAGAACTTTTAAAGTTAACAGATGTTTACAGGTTATACTTTGCCTGTCAAATGAATTTACAAGTGTATTAGTGAGTAGCAAATTAAAGCAGATTTTGTAACAATTACACACTTAAACTATAGAAAAAAATTCATTTGAATCACATAGTTTAACATCCTAGTCTGAAATACACTCTTTGCTACAAGTGTAGCACATAACAAGGAAAGGAGAGGGAGGAGGGAATAACACACCTGCAAGATTAGGACGCTTGACTATGGTTTAAATGGAAAATGAAGAAGTAGGCTGAGGTGGAAAGCTTAGAAATGTCTAACATGCAGATTTCCGTAGATTCATAATTGGCCTCATTCAATCACAGAATTCCAGAGACTGTGAAACACCTTAATCTGCAAATATTAGTAGTGCAATAAAGAAATGGTGTGGAAAGTCCTGATGTAAGCAAGAACTCTGATTTTTATTTCTAATTACAGTATATCTTCACTTATTCATGCAAATGGCCAGAAGACATTGAAGCTTATTAGATTCTTACAGATTAGCTATTAACTGAACATATTTGATAATGCATTGCAAAATCTAATTTTTCACTTTGTCAAGCATAGTTTAATTTTCATACTTCATAGCCTAGTAAATGTACTATAGTGCATTTTATATGAATAAGTCTTAGAAATGAGATCCAGCTGTAGGGGTCCTCTGCTGAGTATTTGCAAAATGAGGAGATACTGCCTCGTTTTTGGAAGGATAAATCTTATGCCCATTAATGAGATAAGAATCTTGAAGTGGTATTGATTTCAGTCATTTATGTGGTAGGATCTGTATGCAACTTGCTGCTTATTTAGTTGACTGCTTGTGTCAAGTTTTGGAATGATGGATTCTGAATAGCTGTGGAAAAAATGATTTTTTTTTTTTGCCCCCCCTTGAAACAACTTAGAAGTTGTTAAACAGTTACACTTCTTTTACCTTGGATGACCAATCATAAGTGTCAAGTGCAGGCTATTGCAAATTGAGGGTGATTAACTAATTGTAGGTTTGCTAAAAGTCCCTAGAAGAAGCACAGGGCATTTTGCAGTGCCCAAATTTGTTTTAGAAGTACAAAAAAATATTTGGTCAGAGCTTTCAGATTTGGTTCATAGCCAAGTTTTTTATTCTTGGAATACGTTTGGGTTTCCTTTGTACTTGAATCATCTTACGTTAAAACATGCAATATAGAAAAATTTAAGATTGATCTTAAGTAGGTACAATATAGATTAGTTTTGCTTGTATGATCAGCATACTGCTTTATTCATTCACCCAAATTTTCTGGGTTTTGGGGTTTTTTAATACTTTCCAAAAAAAGTTATCCCAGATCTTTAGCATTCTGTTTGCAGGTAAAGCATCTACAGTTTTACTCTTTGTAAACTGTAGAAAGTCACAGAATTGGCTAGTGTCATGGACGACTTTAATGAATGGTTTGATACTTTTACCATTCTAGTTTTTACGTACGTAAAGTGTCCCAAAAGTGATAAATCATTCCATCATTGACTGTATAGAACACAATCCAGATCTCTCAGAAGCTATGAACTTTAATTTCCCTGTCTCTTGCCTTTAATTTAATTTCATCATCTCTTGCCTTTTCCTGATCTTACTCTATTTCAGTTCTTTACTGCATTTATCAGTGTACCAAATTTTGCCGTAATCACATTGAAATACTTATTTCATAATAAAGTAGCAAATGTGGAACCAGTTGTCAAAACCTGAAGTATATCAGGCCATCCATTATGTCATAGATTTCATAGACATTAGGGCTGGAAGGGACCTCGTGAGATCGTTGAGTCCAGCCCCTTGCCCAAAGGGCAGGGAGTCAGCTGGGGTCAAATGATTCCAGCAAGATAATCATCCAAACCCTTCTTGAACATGTTCAGGTAGGTGCTTGCACCACTTCTGGGGGTAGTCTATTCCAGACTCTGGAGACTCAGACGGTAAAGAAGTTTTTCCTTATGTCCAGTCTAAAACACTCTTCCAGCAGTTTGTGACCACTGGACCTTGTCTTCCCTTGGGGTGCCCTGGTGAACAGACATTCCCCCAGATCCTGATGCACACCCCTCATATACTTATAGGCTGCCACCAAGTCCCCCCTGAGCCTACGCTTTTCCAAGCTGAAGAGTCCCATGCCTCAGCCGTTCCCCATAAGGCCTGCTCTCCCAACCTCTGATCATGCGTGTGGCTCTCCCTCTAGACTCTTTCAAGCTTTTCCACATCCTTTTTAAAGTGTGGAGCCCAGAACTGGATGCAGTACTCCAGCTGCGGCCTCACTAAGGCTGAATAAAACGGGAGGATGATATCTTGGGTGTTGCTTGAGATGCATCAGTAGATGTAAGCCAGGGTTTTATTTGCTTTGCGAGCTGTGGCATCGCATTAGTGGCTCATATTCATCTTGTGGTCAGTCATGACCCCCCAAGTCTCTTTCAGTGATAGTGCTAGTGAGTGTAGCACTACCAACCTTATAGGTATGATGTGGGTTCTTTCTCCCATGGTGGAGCACCTTGCCTTTCTCTATGTTGAAAGTCATCAGGTTTTGATCTGCCCACTTTGCGAGCCTGTCCAAGTTGGCCTGAATCCCCAGCCTATCCTCAATTGTGACTCTGCTTCCCCATAATTTGGTGTCATTTGCAAACTTAGCTAGTCTGCTTCTGACACCGGAGTCCAGGTTGTTTATGAATATATTAAAGAGTACTAGTCCAAATGCTGAACCCTGAGGGATGCCACTGGTCACCATGCGCCATGTTGACTTGGTTCCATCAGCTATCACTCTTTGGGACCGACCACAGAGCCTATTCCCCAGCCATCAGGCCAGAAGGTTGTTGAGGCCGCAGGTCCCCAGTTGTCATGAGGACATCATGGGAGACCAAGTTGAAGGCTTTTTTGAAATCCAAGTAAATGATGTCATCCTCTTCTCCCCATCCGGGTGAAGTGTCACCTGGTCATAGAAGGAGATGAGGTTGGTCAGGTATGACCTACCTGTAAGCTGTGTTGGTTGTCTCAGAATGAGGCTGCCTGTTGGCCTATTGTGAGTCTAAAATACTGTAATTGCAATTTAGAATTCTTTTGTTTTCATGCAAAAGACCCATCTTGTACACTGAAATGCCCAGTTTGCAGCAAGCTTCAAAATAAGAGTGTAGCTGCGAGAACATTTTTCTGCCATACCCTGTGTACCTTGTATTTTGGAAATCATGTCCATTTGGAATGAATGTCTAGTCCTTACATGGTACATAAGGGTGGGAACAGTTCCCCATATTCCCTTATGTATTCTCAATCTCCCTTTACCTTCCTCGAATAATGTTGGGAAGAGAGAGAACCATGATAATTCTTTGTTTTTCCAGCCTCACTACCTCCTATGCATGAGCTCTAGGAGGTGTTAAATCAGCCTAAAACAGTGCAGTGCGTCTTGGAGTTTAAAGTGTTCTTCTCCATTCCATCTCCCAAGCACAGGGCTATAGTTATGCTACACTGAACCCTTTGCATTTTAAATGGACAACGTACACTGAACTATCTTTATCCTTTAAAAGTCTGGTGCTTTTATGTTGCAGGTAACACCTTATAAGATTACAACACTAGAAGCATCTTACTTCAAAATAATCATTCGTTATGGTATAACCAACAAATGCTACAAAAGCATTAAGTTGCCTCCGCTGTTACTAGCAAGACATTATAATCAGAATTACTGGGGGAAGGGGGGGTTGTTTTTGTTTTTTGTGACCCAGTATTCTGTATTCTAATTACATTTCTAATGACATGCAGTGGCTAACAGAGTATCTCTTTCCATTGCTTAGTCATTTCAAAGCATATATTGAAGGAATGTGGAGAAGTCTTAATATACTTTACAGTAGTTAAGGGATATACAGTCCTATTTCAATATATTACAAATTTCTTCTTACTCTTTTGCCTTATCAAGTGGTTTCCAAGATGCATTACACTTGGATGTTTCTTTAAGTGATGGGTAATTTTGCAGTAGACGAAGACAGTATAAACATGCAACTTCCTGTGCTACATGAATCAGTTTTATAATATTTGTAATATGGATTGATTTTTTTAGGTCCTAATTCTTACTTATTTCCATTTTATTGTTTCTCTGCACTGAAGGGCAGTTAAAAGGCACGTTTCAGAAATTGGAGTTTTCTTTTTGCTTTTTTAAAATCTATTAATGAAACTTTTTAAAGAGGCTATAGAGTGTTTTGTTTTTGTTGTTTCTGTTGGAAGCTTGAGGAAAATCAAGAACGTCCTAATTTTGCTGTAAGATTTATTGAAGGTCTTTCTCTACTGTTAGGTTTTGCATTTTAATTAAAGTGATGCTATTGAATCTAAAACAAACTTTTTTTTCCAAAATGTTAACTGTTGAACATGGACAGGTGCTAACTCAGCCTAGAATCTTCATTCAAGCTGCCTAAAACTCCTTTTTTCCATTTTTTTTAGCTTTTATTTTTTATTCTCTTGACTCTTCTGTCTAGTCATTTACACTGTCTTCTAGACAAAACACAATTTCTCCCTCCCAGCCCCCAATAGCGTATATACAGATGGACAGACGGAAAAATAACCCGAACATCCTGTTAAAATCAAAAAACAAAAAACCTGCAGCCCCTTTTTTGCTACTAATTTATTTCTGATACTATTTCCTAATTATGTACAAATTATTATATTTTCAGCTTAAATTCCAGAACTCATGATTTATCTCACTGTTAAGAGTAATGCCATTGATTTTTTTTTAAGTAATTAAAATGTCATAGAAAATACATATTTTACTGAAAAATATGGGAACAAGACTCCATTGTTACCCACAGTAATTCTTGTACTGAAGAGAGAAATGAGCCAGCTTCTGTTTCTGGGCCTGCATTTGGCATTGGACCAGTTGCTTTTACCAGTGAGATTTCCCTGTCTCTGAAATGGAGATAATGATATTTCTTGATATTTTTTTTCCTTCCCCAAAGTCCATTGGGATCCAGTGGTGAAAAGCATCTATATAAGAGCTAGGTATTGCTACAATCCAAGGTGCTAGTTCTGCAAACTGTTCCACACATTTTATTTAACAGTAGGATATATGAGAGAGACTCCTGGAACTTCATGGCATATTTATGCCTGTACTAGGGCAATAGAGTTTAGATCATCTCTTATTATGGTAGGTATTCAAAAGTGACCACAATCGCCCCATGATAGGGATCCACAGTGTATATCAAATCAGTCTATGGTTTGTCTGAATGCAGTGTTTAAATAATTAATATAATTGATGGCATTTTCAGGCTGATGGTCCAGCTATTAAGAAATTGGAAGTTGATATTCATTTTGTGCATAGAAAACTGGGATAGAGATTGGTGTTTCTACTTTTGGCAAGTAAACAACCCTTTCTCCCCCAACTCTTAAAGACTGAATGCTCTTGTGAGAGGAGGATGTAGTACCAGCTTATTGCTGATACTTGGCCTTTTGGTGGCAGCTTCCCACCAGGAGGAAATAAGGAAGGAATGACAACCTCCATTAGATAGCTTCAGGGTGTGTTAGGTTAATGTATTTGTAGCCTGATTTGACCACACACCTTGCATCTTGTCTGTCTTGCTGCGTATGATCAACTTTTGCCGTAGACGCATGGATGCAGTTTTTCAGTGCAGAAGTTTGATATACTGATTCTTGTACCTGTTAGCTTTTTGTCATGGCACAAAATGCTTTAATTTTTATTTGAACATAAGCATTTTTACTAATTCATAGATTTAGGTTTTAAGATGACACCTTATTTTAGCAAGTCCTTTTCACCGGTAATAATAGGAGGTTTCTGAGGCAAACGTTGATGAGAATAGTTTGAACCATTAAAACTCCTTGTTATGGGCTTCTCCGATTTAATGCAAGGAATTTATGGCTTGACTTACCTTTTTTGTTAATATCGAACAGCAGGGGCTATCCATTAAGTATCCTCTATTTCCTAAGGTTTGTACCATCGGATGAAAAGAAGAAACAAGGCTGTCAACGAGAAAATGAAACTTTAATACAGAGAAGGAAGGACCAGATACAGCCTGGTGGAACTACAGTCAGTGTTACTGTACCTTATCGAGTGGTAGATCAGCCTCTGAAACTGATGCCACAAGACTGGTAAAACAGGGTTTCTCTTTTTAAAGTCCTTTTTTACACTTTTATTTTCTTTTTCCAGCATGGGAACACAGCATGTAAAATGATATAATAAAATATTGTTAATCCAATTAATGCATGAAATATATACATAAATGGTTAGAGAATGATTCTTCCACAGTTTTTTTTCCCTTTTGGTATACAGAATGTTTGATCAAACTTATTACATAAAAAACAACACTAGCTTTTTTTTTTCTTTTTTAATGATATATGCAATATTCTAGTCTTATCCCAAACTTCTATTTGTATGAAACCACTAAAGGGTATGAACATAACACTTCACCTTTTCAGAATCACACCTGTTGTCATTTAAATCATTTAAATATTGTCACCTTTAAAAGAAGTATTCCCATCTGTAGTAATTCTTTCTGAAGGAGATGCAATTTTAAAAAGAAATTTTTGATCCTTCGGAAATAATTTGATTGGTATGCACACTTTTAAATTAAAGTAGAAGATTCAAGATTCCGGGCTCTTACTGGTCCAGACAGAATCCTGGGAAGTGGGGGAGAGAGTCATGGGGTTCTTCGTGTATTTGGGGTGCATTTTAAACTAGTAGGCCCTTCCTAAGGGAGTTTCTTAATGTACTAAGCTTATAAAAAAAATAAGTGTTTTAGTACTTTATTTTAACCATATAGACTGCATCTAGATGAGCATGGCCATGCAGTGTGTGGCGCTGCAGACACGTCTGTGGGGGACCACTTACCGCGTGTTCGGGTGTTCTCTGCTCTGGGGCGGGGTTGACAAAAAAACAACAACAATAACAAAAAAAACTGCAGAAAAGCACAGCAACGCACGTGGGACCAGCGTGCACTGCTCAGAGCCAGAGCCTGACTGACTGGAGCCACGCTACGGCTGCTGGCCAGGCTCCAAGTGGCAGGATTGCTACTGCTGCAGCCCCGGGACACCCCCAGGGCCCCAGGTAAGGCTGCTGGCCCTAGTCCAGTGCTGGCTCCAGCCTCCTCTACCCCATCCAGGGTAACTTGCTGTGCACCAGAGCGTGTGCGCCAGGGGCGTTCCCCATTGACAACTTTGGCAGCATAAGGTGCACTGCTGCTAGTTGTTCCCGGGAAACCACATCTCCATACTCATCTGGATGCAGCCATAAGGGCGATTTACCACCTTCTCCTCTTAATTTAAGAATATTTTATATATATATTGTAAAGTCTTGTAGCCTCTTGTAATATTCAAAGCTGGATGCTAATAGTACATAATGTATACAAGAGGCTACTTTTATATGTACCACTTTACATAGTTTCTAAACATTATTTTTCATGCTTGCTTTACAACAAGTAAGTGAGACTTTGTGGAGAATTATTTTTGCTGTGGATGTAATCTTTGCACCAGCTAATACAAAGAATGTTTTTCAGTGATTTAACTATAGTTATTTAGCATTTTGAAGAAAACTGATTAATTTTTTTCTCAAAAAAAAAAAAATCTTATACGGATATAAATTTAGAAATTAGATAATGGGGATTTTTTTGTGAATGCTTAGAGGCCCGGCCCCACGGCATTAGGCACTGTTCAGACATAGCAAAAGGGCCAGCCCCAGAGGCACTGTGGGTTTTGAACAGTTTATTTTCCTAGTGTAAGAGTTCTCTTGTGCTTAACAACAAGGAGATTTGCTTAGACTACATGTAGTGGTTACATAGACTTATAAAGCACTTTAAAAGGGAAGATAGAAGTGTTGCAGTTTTCATATTTTTTTAAATAAAACTTTAAAGTATTCATTATGAATCCTTTTATATTGTTACATCTCATTTAGTTTACAGTACAATTCAAAGAGGATCATCTTTAAAATGCTCAAGTGTGTGTTTTTGTTTTGATTTAAAAAAAAAACACAAAACCTTTTAGTCTCCCAGAATTTTAAGCAGGAGTTGACTTCTGACCAATGAAAACTGAAATTGAGTTGCATTCGGCAAAAGGCAGAAATTGAAGTCTAGAAAGATCATATATAAGTCTTTTCAGCACCAACACAACCAGATATTCTTAAGTGGTGACAGGAAAAAGCAAATGCACAGGAAGTACATACAGCAGCCATTAATGTGCAATAAATATAATATTAATGTAATTTATTTTTATAAGGTACAGTGCAAGGTAGTATTGACAGCAGCCAATTTCACATGAATAATTGAGAACTTTTTCCCTTCATGTTTTTACTATGATTAGAACTTCAGGTCTTCATTGTGTGCATGTGTTCCCATATTTTTAGGGATCGTGTGGTGGCAGTGTTTGTGCAGGGTCCTGCTTGGCAGTTCAAAGGCTGGCCTTGGCTGTTGCCTGATGGATCACCTGTTGATATCTTCGCAAAAAGTAAGCTTTCACTTAAGCTTAATGCTCTTATATGTTTTTATAACGCATTCAGGCTTGGCAGGAGTATACATTACAAGATTGTTCAAGTTAGATGTGGACAGGTGCTGATGTCCTTGCACTCGGCTATGATTCCCACTCCCTACTCTCCTGGAAATGGCATACCAATCTGGCTAAGTCTGTCCAGGAAAGAAATTGTTCAGTGAGACAAGAAGACTTGCTATAGAACAGTTTGTTTGTATTTTGCTTTGAGAAGATGTATTAATAGTGCAGGCAGCCAGTTGCCCTTACTCCTAGAAGCAGTGGTAACAAGTAGACTTACTGAATGTGAATCTCCTGTCTTCCCTAAGGTGATTGGCCTTCATCAGATTCTCATGTTTTCCATAACAATAGTTTATCCTGCCAACAAAAGCTAGCCACAGCCTAGCAGATCCCTTCTGCTAAGCAGAATCTGACAGCTCCCAGAAATGTTACTGCTTCTCAGAATTGTTACAGTACTTACTAGGTGTTTCTGAAACACAAGTCACGCAGACTTTCATTCTCCCCTTTTTTATAAACAAAGAAAAATCTACATTATTTTCTACTTGCAACACATTTCTTTTTCTCCAAAATAAAAACGTCTCCATCTCCACAGGTTGAGTCAGTTGGTATTTGCTTTTTTGTTGTTGTTGATGGTGCGTACCCTGGGCTAGGCCCTGGCACAACCAGGAATGTCTGGTATGACTTGGTGTTTGTTTTCCTACATTGTGAAACATAGACCAGTGGCAGCTTGTGCAGCATTATTCAAAGGATCTGTGGTCCTTCACTGGCTTGTTCTCTGTACTCCCATTTCACATGCCACTAAGTGTTTCTACATGTGTGCTTTAATGCGCATTAGCTTATTTTAATGAGTGTTAAAGCATCACGCAGGGTGCCTGTACACGAGCGCAAAGGCTGCTCCGATGCACACGATTAATGGAGTCTGCTGGAGCATGGTAATTACTGCGTTCCAGCAGCCTTCTGCATCTTCTGTATCAGTGTCCCATGCTTCAAAATAACGGTGGGGATGCTTGAACTAAAGCTCGTTAAACAAGCTTTAGTTCCAGCACCCTGGCATCATTTTGGAGCTCAGGGATGCTGATACAAGACACTGGTGCTTGGGAACCACTCTAATTAAAGCGCGACCTCCCCACCTCCGTCAGAGCACGTATGGAAGTGCCCAAAAATGCACTTTTGCTAATGTGCATTACATGAGATAATGCGCCTTTTACTAGTACTTCACAGTAGAGGTATTCAATTTAATGTGCATTAGCAAAAGCACATAAATGAACATGTAGATATGCCCACTGTGTATTAGCTACAGTCTTCAGGCTGAGAATACACCAAGCTTTTGTCCCCTTTTATCCTGGATAACTAGTTCATGTGCACATGCCCAGAGTTGACATTTTTTAGCTTCTGTAGGCCCCTCCCAGTAATAGACAGTATATTCTGTTTAAGTACATAGCTTTGGAAGTGAAGAAAAGGCACTTACGTAGAACGTTAGAATGCAGTGCTGCTGGCTCTGGTATTAGCTCTAAAAATGATTGATTAGCTTCCCTAATTTTAAGGCTTCTAATAGTTAGTTTCAGATCTGGTATTAGAAATCCTGAAAATGAGTTTTGGGGCTGTGAACTCTGACAGCACACTAAGCAGTGCTCTTTAAGGACATAGTGCTGTCAGTGCTGTGATTTAGCAGCTCCAAAACTGAATATTAAAAGGCCTAGAAAATGAGGGGAGATGTCCATGAAATTGACTAGCTCCTGTCATTTTCAAGGCTTCTAATACCAGGCCTTTGACAGCTGCTTCCCCTTCATTCTTTCTGTTAGGGAGTACAATTTGATATAAAGTAGATAAATACAGTGACAGCATGCAGTTAGCAGGAGTACATTTAATTTACAAAGCACACAGGCAGGCTGAAATATGCTATGCACATAAGCGATTTTCACGTTTAACCAATATACAGATAATTGGAGCTTTTAACAACGTAAGCAGTAAGCAACAAAATGGGACTGGTGTTTTAGGCAGTGAAGTGAAATATGCATTTACTTGGCATGCAAATGAATGGGTCCGTTCTTTGATTTCTTTTAAAGTGTGGATGGGAGGTAAAGAAACGTGCCAGGGGTGAGCTTGAAGATTAAGATATGAGGATAAGGGTATATTTGGATCTAGTTAGAATAAGAGAGGTGGCATGTAAAAAGATTTAAAAGAAAGAACAACAGAATATGGAAAAAGTCATGTAAAAGCAAAAGAAAGTTTACAATAGACTGAAAACAGCAAAAGAAATGGATATCTCCAAAACAGATACAGAAAATGGAGTGAAGGAGAACCAAAAACCTCTGAACTCATCAATTATAAAATATATTTTATAAATACTTCATACTTACATTTTTTAAAGAAATTTAGAGTAGCAGTTATTAGTGTTGCTATATGGTGTATGTATATATAGCAGAAAAAGAATTGAGTTCCATAGAAATGGCTTGTTTGCCACAGATAAGCTGGTCTAGGAAAATTTAAGTCCTTGTTTGAAGACTTGAATTTAAAAGCACAAACTAGTATGGATGCTTAAGAGAGAATATTGGATATATTATCTGTCTGGGGACATGCATATGTTCAAATTGGAAACGGCACTATGACTATTCTTATCCACATGCATATGTATTTCTGGAAAATAAAATTTTTTTTGCCCTTTCAAATGCTTCAGATTTCATAAAATGCCAGATATTTAAAAAATATTATTCTGGCACAGTCTAAGTTGTTTTTCTGTAAGACCATTGCATTGCATTGTCTCTGGGGTGGGGGGTAGGATATATATTTTCCTACAAAAGTGTACTTTGTGTTTCAGCTTCAAGTCCATTTCCATTTGTATGGTAACTACAAATACCATTCGTCACTTTATCCATACACAGGGTCTTTAACTTCATAAACAGAGATCTGGGTTTTGAGTTTGCCATGGAAAAATGCTGATTTTTTTTCCTTTGATAGAGAAAAATGTTGGAAAACATGGGGTTCCCCTTGCAGGCTGACAGTTCCAGCCTGCAAAAAGCTGCTTGGGGTTAGGGGGAGCGGGACTCAGGGGACACTGTGCGTGCGTGCGTGCGTGCGTGCGTGCATGCACATGCATGTGGCCAGCAATACAGCCTGGCAGTGATGGAGACCGGCTCCTCCAGCTGCCTGCAGGTAAGTCTATGATGGGGGCCATAGGTAAGGGAGTGGGGCAGGGTTGGTGGGGGAGGTGCAGATTGAGGTGGCAGTAGCCATGGTGAGGGAGTGGGGTAGGGTTGGTGGCTGGGGCTAGGGATGCTGCCCAGCTAGGGTAGTGCCTGTGGCTAGGGCAGAAAGCATGCCTGCAGGGCCAGGCTGGGAGAGTGGGACAAAACCCTGGTGGCCTGAAGGTGGGGCTGGCTATCTAATGCTGTGTGCACTTCTGAGGAGGGGTCAGGTGCCAGAGGCAACATGTCAGGGAGTTATGGGGTACATGTGCCCCTCCAGATTTGTGTATGAGGCAGAGGAGGATGCAGGCTGTCTGCTCTGGAGCTCAGTGCTGTCATCACCACCACTGGGACCCCCATGCCAGCCATGACAACAAGGTGAGGAACCCCCTGCCTGCCTGGCAGCACTGGGGGACCACAACTGTGGGGCACCACTGCTGGCCCCTTGTTGTCAGGTAGGCAGACAGTGCCTCACCTTGGCAGGGCAGCTGGGATGGGGGTCCCAGCAGCAGTGGCAGCAGCACTGAGTCTCACCTCCCTGCTGTGCTCTCCCATACCAGGTCCCACCTGCTGGGCTGCTGAGTCCCCCAGGGGAAAGGCAGCAGGGCAGGGAGCCCTGAGCTCCACAGCAGGCAGCCTACATCTGCCCCCTCCCTCCATGGGCTCCACTCTGCTCCTGCCACAGTAGCCACCACCGCAGCTGTGGCTCTGGTGCTGTTGGATGGCTGAGACTGGCACCCACAGAACAGAGAGCAGGCAGGATGCAGCCGCTGGGTCCCTTAACCCTGGCGGTTGGGGACCCACTCTGGCAGAGCTGTGGGGGCAGGGGGCTGTGGGTCAGCAATGAGGCCCCAGCTGGGATGGGGTGGCAGAGGACTGTGGATCAAAGGTGAAAGGCACCGGAAGGGCCAGGTGGCTGCAGATCAGGATTAAGGGGCACTGGCAGGGATGGGGGACTGTGGGTCAGGAGTGAGGGGCAGTGGCAGGGCACTGGCTTATCAGGACTGCTTAGCACCACAAGGCAACAAGGGGGAAGGGGTGGGGGAGACGGCCAGAGTTGGACCTGCATCCTGGTGACCAAAGGGGGAAGGGGAGCTCTGATTTTTCCATGATGAAAAAACCCCCCAAATCAAATGCCAAAATATAGACGTTTAGAATTTATTTTATTGTAACAATTGAGGCACTGGTTGGTAGGCTTCCAAATAGCTTAAAAGTTGTACATATGTCAATATAACATTGTGTTCAACTAATACATATATATCTATGTCTATCTATATATGTCTCAGAGAATATGGGATTTTTAAAAAGAGAAAACCAAGATCCCTGTTAATAAATTCAACTTTCTGATTTTATATCAGTCCATTATCTCATTTAGAGACTATCAACCTTTACAAAAACTAAAAACCATGGCCGGCAACCTGGTCTATTTCTACAGTGATTGATTAACAAAGATTTAAAGCCACATATTGTAAATTGAAATTTTGGAAACAAGCTGATTGCCGTAAAGTCCACAAATAGATATCTAAATTCATCTAGTAAATGCTGGAGTAGATGGTATGAAATCACATCAAACTGGTTTTACTTTCTTCATTTTATGCTCATTAGAATCCTGTAAAGTCTTTCGCGAATGGATCTTAGAAAATGACTTTCTTTATCCTTTGTTGTCTTCTTTCAATCTGTGGCATTTCCTTTCTTTTGAAATTATTTTGACTATTTTTGGATTGAGTACATAATGTTCATATGAAGAATAACAGTTTCCTTACCCTTACACTCTAGTTATATCCATAAGTGGACATTTCAAATGAAAAGTTTTAGTATTTTGCCATTTTAACCAACATGAATATTTTATTTGAATGCCATTTTAAAGGTCTTCCTGCTATAGCATATTTAATGTACTTTTATTGAACCTGAAGGTCAGTTCTAGTGGGTTGACTTTTGTTCAATAATATTTAGCCTCAACTCAAAGGTTCTGTTTGACATTCATAGATTTCTTTGTAAATGCATAGCCTTGGCATACAATTATCTAGCCTTCCTGTGCATATTTTAAAAGGCTTGGCATCATTTGATTTGCTTAGAGATATTCATTCTTAGTTTTCATTCAAGAGGCTTGAAATACACTTGGTAATTTGGCGAGTGGTGTGATTTTTTTTTTTTAGTTAGTATTGCAACTTCTAAATATGTTAAATACCCAAGAAATATGATTTTTTGTGTGAGGAATAGCTTCATAAATATGTATTTTGTATATTCTAATGTTCTTAGTATATTTTTTTTAAGGAAGCCGTTAATTCTTGGCTAGGAGAATAGTGAAAACTATCAGAGTCATTTGGGCTGTGTACACGCATTCAAATAAGCTAGATTAATTCTCTCAGGTTTTTTTCTCCTGATAGTAAAAATTTACCCAGAGCTGCATATATAGACATTTAAATGCTAAGGCTCTGAAGTGTGGAGAGTTTACAGTGCTGACACTGTGCAGCTGGGAGTGGGGGGTCCCTATGCACACACATCTGTGTTCTGCAGGTTCCCTTAGTCTGCAAGGCAGTGTGTAAGGTAGGGCTGACTGGCTAAGCCAGACTCTCTGTAGTCAGCCTGTGTTTTCTTGCAGCATACTGTGGCAATTGTGAAGGGGATGTCCTCTGCTCCCTGCTAAAGCACCAGACTCCAATGAGTGACAGTCTCCCAAAGGAGTAGAGGGGAAGATGGAGGGCTATGTTCTCTTCTGAGGGAAGACTGCCTATACAAACATTTACTCTCCCAGGAAAAACTATCCTGGGAGTGATTTTAATCTTAGTTGTTTCCAGGTTATTTTTTTACCTGGAGTGGCCGTTTTTTCTCCATGAGAAAAAGCCTAAACATCTGTACACTCATGGATCCTTCTGGAAAAGCAGCAACTCAGGAGAAACTGAATGTCTGTATGAATCCTTGTTTAAAGATCTGGCTGGGTTCTATGGAAAGGAGATGTTAAGGCCTGGCCTTAGAGGAGAATTGACCAAAGTATATAAAATAATTATTTAGAAAAGGCTGGTCAGAAGTTATAGTTTCTGACCAATTTAGTACTGGAAGAGCATCAGAAAATTTTAAGCAGTTGGAGTTTTAGGGAGAGCTTTAAATATTTATAAGATTGGATGCATTATCTAAATTGGAATTTGACAAAGGTAGCATTTATACTATGGCAGGAAGTATCATGGGGTATTTTTAATACCTACTGTGGTTAGTACTTAAGTTTTATGCAATTCCTGTGAGATAACACTTTCAATGGCATACTGACTTTTAACGTCAGGCTGTTACATTAGCTAAATTCTAGTTCATAGGTATAGTCTGCTGCTGAATCACTAAGATTATTTTCTGCGGCACTTTAGGATAACCTTGGAGTCTTAGCATCAAAACACTGATTAGATTAGGACTGACAAAGTAATTTGCAAGAAATGAGATTACAGCCTCAACTGCCATTTTTCCATTTATACAAATGAATCTGTAAAGAAAGTGTATGATGTCACCTACAGATCATGGCATGTGTTGAGGACTACACAGATAATTTTTTCTTTGGCAGGTTTCATCAACAATTCATAACTGATTTTCACTGTATGTCTGGCGTGTATATTAGCATTTAATTAGACTGGTTGTGCTGGAAAAACATGAGAGAAGCAGTCTGTGTACGGGGATCCAAAGGCATCTCGTACAAGTGTTCGCAATGTGCCTGTCTAGCAGAAAAGCATTCTGATCAATGACTCCCCACAAACCCAGCTTTGAGAGTCGCCAAGGTGTGGTGGAGTGGTAGATAATAGTATAGAATGGTAGCTCTGGTGATCACCTACTTGTGCAGTAGTTTTACAAAGTGGTGCAGTAATGGGTTCAGGACTTTAAAACGTGATTTAAAAACAGCATTATTCCTTCAGTAGGTATCAGTAAGTACAGGTGAACTGAAAGGATGGCCATCCTGAAGTGGAAGCAAAGGGAAATGGCAACATCTCAGTATAGGAGGTCAAGTCTACCTCTGTTTCTGTGGTAGTAAAATCATACCTTCAAATGTATATGCAATAGTATACTTTCACTTTTAAGCAGTTCACACAGCTGTAGATACTTAATATACAATGAAAATGCAGACTCAAAGGTTAAATTAATTTTAATTCTTGGTCAAATCTGAAATGTCTGGCCAACTCAGAATTTCCATGCGTTTCTAGCTTCAATAGGAGGAGTTGGGTTGTGGCTCTCAAATTCATAAACCTTCCTAAATGACCTTTATAATTAAGTGTTTTATAGAGTGTGGTTCATTGTCCTTAGCGTTAATCTCAACTCTGAAGAATGCGGTGGTTTCTTTGTCAAAGTATTATTATCCTGTGAGATAAACTTAGTTGTGGTCCTAGTCTAAATATTTCTCCATTGTATTTTGTAGTTAAAGCTTTCCATCTCAAATATGATGAAGTGCGTCTAGACCCAAATGTACAGAAATGGGATGTAACAGTGTTAGAACTAAGCTACCACAAACGGCACTTGGACAGACCAGTATTCTTACGTTTCTGGGAAACTTTGGACAGGTAAATACTATTTTTCTCTAATATTTTTTTGGGGGTGGGGATTGGTGTTTTGGTGGAGAGGAATTATTACAGTGCCTGTTTCAAATATCAGAGAAATTGTATAGTTTAGAAAGTTCCAAGCAAAGTCTTGGAGCTAAAATAGTGCTTGTAATTCATGATTATGGGCCTGGCAGATTATCCTAAACTTTATCTGACCTAACAATAGAGGAAGAGGAGAGGGGTGGGGGAGGAGAGGGAGCTAATCAAATATTTGTGGAATGTTAGCTATTGAGTGTAATGCAAAAAAGTGACAGTTAAACTGTTAACCAATTTACTAGTAAAAATATATATATCTACAATTTAGGATGTTGATGTAATATGTCTTATGAACAATAAACATTAAGAAAATAGATGTCCTTATTGAATTAGTGTGTACATTAAGTTAGAACAATTATTGCATCAGATTTTATTAGCAAAATAAGTATTTTAGGCTCATATTTCCAGAAGAGCCAAAGTGAATTAGGTTCCCAAATTCTTTTGGAAATCAAAACTACCTTATGATGCTCTGAAAAGTCTTGAATAAATAATAAGTGTTCAAACTCTCTTATTGCAGTATCTCCCAGCAATACATTCTGCAACTAACTGCACAGATGTTTCTGAAATTTTCCAATCCTGATTTACCATGACCCTGAAGGCTTCTTTGACTGAAATCTTATAACTTTAGGTGTCACATAATGGGTGTGGACAAGTTTGCCATTTCTAGTGGGGAAAAATGCCACTCTTTCAGAAACTGCAGGCATATAGGATTTAATTTGGTTTCTCAGAAGAAGCTTGGCAGATCCGTGAACAAGATCCTCCACTTATGACCTGAAAGATCTCATGCAAGAATAAATGCCTGTACCCTTTAGGGCATACCCTTGCCACTCAACTCCTCCTGGTCCAAGCAGAGGCAAGCAGCAACTGCTTCCCTGCACCTTCCACAGACAAGGTGGGGAGAGCAGATAGGACAGGGACCCCTGGGCATTTTCCCATGACTGCTGATCTTGGGGTAAGTAGAGCTACTGCTCTCCCCCTGAACCTCCATCCCTCCACCACCCCCACATCTTGCACAAACCAAGAGCACCTCAGTCCCAGGAATACACAGGGAGCATTTGAGCATCTTTATTAAGCAGGAGCTCATCCTTGTTTGTCTGCAGGGGACAGGTGGGTGGCTGCAGGCTGAAATGCCTATAACCTATCTCTCATCACTTTTTCCAGTGATGAGCCCCTGTCCGTAGCCAGTGTCTTAAAACAAATCAGAGTGCTCCTAGCAGAGACTATTTAGCTACTTTTTCCTTTGTAATAATCAGTATTGTGAATGGGATAAAGAATGGACAGAATTCTCATTTACTGTTGAAGTAACAAGGGTCCTTTTTATCTCTAACTTGACAATGTACGGAGAAGTGAGTTTTTAGGTATTTTATTTTTATTGTACAGCCTTGTTCCTTAAAATTATATTTTTTTGTGGCTGCCACAAGATGATATAATATTTCTTGCTAACATTGCAGGTACATGGTAAAGCACAAATCCCACTTGAGGTTCTGAATCCTTTGACTGCCATTTGATTCCTGGAGTTTGGATTAAGAAATATGAAAGATGCTCCAGCCCGGAGACTAGAGAACTTACTGTATGCATATGTCCAGAACTTTGCAAATGAAGAAGGGGTCACAGTTTAATCTTTTATAAGATCTTGTTTGGAAGCTTGTGCTATGACAGGTTGATATCTGTCATTATTAAAAGCAAAGGGGTTTTGCTTAAAACTATTTTTTTAATAATGTTAGCCTTCTAGTCTGCAATTCAAATTGTATATTTTGATAGCAGCAGTTTCTTCCCCATTTTGTTATATTAGCCACATTTTTAAATAATGTGTTTTGGTCCTCATTAGAAAATAGGTTGATTTCACTGCAGGTTACAAAATGTGTGTGTGTGTGTATGTGTGTGTATGCATGTGTGCGCGCATGTGTGTGTGTATATGTATATATATATAGATGTTATGAGGCATTCTAAACCACTTTTGCTTCCAGGTTTAGTTCTGATTTTCTTTGCTTTGTTTCACTTACTGAAAATATTTTGTTGTGAATGGTATTATATTTTAGTCTATAGGACTTGGGAAACTAAGTGAAGTGAAGATTGTTTTGGATAAATCAAAATGTCAACCTGTATATGTACTGTATATTTGGTCGGTCTTTGTTGAAAAAGGGATGATGAATAATCAAGAACCACTTTTTTGGTTATAATGTTCCAGTTTATCAAATCTCTAAATTTTATTATGAAATACATCAAAGTAATGTTAACACTGAATGTTCATCCTTTACAGGTCCTTTAATTTAAAACTGAAAGTGTGTATGTGTACACTAACACCTATCAAAATGCCTTTATATGAGAGTCCAAACATTATATAAATTAAACAGTGAAGAGAAAGGGGGCTAGTTTGCTTTGTTTAATACAACCACCACACACAATGAGTCCTTTTAACTTCATTACATTTATAACAACTCACACTTTAATACTTTTTCCTTATGACAGAAGTCACCCAAACCACTTTTCCAAGAGTTGTAATATTCTCATATGAGTTGCTAATGCAGTCTTTTTAGCAGCATTGCATTAGTACTGAAAATATATTCCAGTTACCAAAGAACACATTTGCTTGATCTAGAATATGAATGTATTCAGGCAACACTGGTATTTGTGTGAATTTAGCATACTTAGCTAGTAATTTAATATCAGTGGAGAGTTAAAAAAAAAAACAAAAAACCCCCCCCCCCCAATAAAATAAAACAGTAACCTCCATATGCATATTTTTTAATGGAAAAAAACATGTTTATATTTCTGTTAGTGAAATAAACCATGTTTTTCTACTTGGCAATTTAAAGTTTGACCAAGAGTAAAATATTCTACATGTTCCTCATTAGTTTTGCTTTTATTTCATATCACTTTAATTTTTAATATAACTGGAAGTGTAATGATTTCAAAAAAGTCTGTAGGAGCTATGTCTTACTGTTACATCGGGGGTCTGAGGCCTGGGCTTCTGTGATATCTTTTAATCTATACTAAAACTATTTTAAATTTTAAACTAAGAAAAATCAAAACTCAATTATTTTAGTAAAAATAAAGATCCACCTCATTCATCATAACTTAGAATGGAAGAAATAACTACATCAACAACATTTTACATCATTAAATCACTGAGAAGAGCAAACAATACCTGGTGTTGGGTTGTTTGTTTGTTTTTGTTTGTTTTTATTTTGTTTGTTTGTTTAAGACCATTTAGCTTCTCTAATTTAAACAGAAAGTATGAGTAGATGACTCTGGCTCATTTGTGGAATATAATTATTATAAATGTGTTCTGTTCTTTATCTCTTTTGATATTGAGATACAATTATGAAATGTAACACAACAGTTGCCAGCACAATGGAATGGGGTTTTGAACTGTGTAAATTATGGGCATCCAAGATTTGTTTCTGCTATTGTGAAGTGATTCTGATTTTAATTTTTACAGTTAGGATTGTGTTGGTTACCATGCCTGTTTTAAGAGAGTGATAATGGACAGCAACCTTTTTCCTAAAGCTTTTTCATATGAGCATTTTATGCTCACATGTATTATAGGTTACAGATCCTAGTGTTCTTAAAATGTGCAACATTAAGTCAGTCTCACCCTTTTTCTATCCTCTGTTTTGTTAGATTTTACAACCTTATTGCTGGTACCGGAGTCTCCTGTGGTTCAGTGGTAGAATCCTTGGTTCAGTGGTAGAATCCTTGTCTACCACACAGGAGACCTGGGTTCAGTTCCCAGACACTTATACAACTACAGCCATGGAGGCACCAAATATACGGACTTAGTCTGGTCATTGGATTCTGTCTCCGTGGCCTAAAGGGAGGATAGAAGATCTGGGTAACCGCCACTCCTCCAAAAATTCCTGTCCAGGCATACGCATTGAAGGTCCCAGTGATCCTCATGCATACACCATGATCCAGAAGGATTGACAGTTGCTAAATTGTTAGTACAGTTCATCAGTCATTCTTGAATCAACTTGTGATGTAATACCAGAGACAGACAGCCTGATTCTGGTTTCACTTATGATACATGTCAGGCATGACCTACTGAAATCAGTGACCCAGCTGTGAAAATGACAGAGGAATAGAATCAGTGAAATTAATTGTTTTAACTGCCATTAAAGTCCGGGTTGCGATTGTGGTACAACAGTGCAACACGTCGTGAACAATTGCCCGATTAGATCATTTAATGGCAATCTAAAATCAATCCATACTGCTACCCCTGAGGCAGTCGAATGGTTATCAAATTTAGATATTAATCTATGAATGTTGCAATCCTAAAATGTCATACAAAAGAAGACAACTGCCATTTTTGGGGGATTCAAATCAAGCCTTTGCCATTTGTGGATTCAAATCAAACCCTATTACTTTGGGTACTTTGTATTAGCAATATCTCCACACAATTAAGGTTCAAATATGTACATTTATAAAGGACATGGCACCTGATACTTCACTTTTACATCTGTTCATTCATGAAAATAGTCACATGTCAGAGTAAGCTGTTGTGCATTGAGGTTCCCATTAACTATATAGTGCGAGTGGAATCAGGTTCTCAAAATAGTTCTCATGCTTACTCCCATTCTGTGCGTGTATGCATGCGTGTAAATACACACACGCACACGCCTCCCTCCCCCACAATCCTTTTGCAGCATATCTAGATATCCAGAGACCATGTTATGCTTAATTTATCTATACATTGATGTATAGTAGTAAGGAAAACTGTTACTATGAACTGGAGAAGCTGTGCTAACAGCCAGTTGCTTGTGAGCTTCTTCCTTATCTATGAACAATTTTGAGAGCTCACAGTGCTGGTAAGTGTATAAAGTGTAAACTGAATTGAAAATTAAAATATATAATGAAGAATGTGAGCTACTTGTACTGACTATAGTTTTATTGAAAAGTTAAATGACATTAGAAGTATGGAAATCAAATATCAAATTGACTGTTCAGTTTCTGTTCTAGTTCTTTGAAATTTAAACCTCTTTTAAACAACTAAACAGTAACAACTCTGCAGTTGTTTAACAAATACAAAATGTGGAAACTGGCTTGCTATCTGATACTGGGCTTCCAAACTGTCAGATATTTGACCAATTTTTTTCTTTTTTCTTTTAATTTTACAGCTGCCAACAGGGACTTTTGAAATACTGATTTATAGTAAAAAGTACTTTCTTGCTTCCAATTTATACATAGCAGCAACTACCAGTACACTATTTGACTTTTCTAACTATAGCACTGAGAAAAGTTTGCTGATGCAGACTTAAGCAGATGCAGGGGTTACTTCTATTTCAAATAGACTTGCATACCTGAAGTAATAATAGATCTGTACTTTCAAGTGAGTAGGCGTAACAATTTTATTCTTATTTCAGGGAACTTTTTTTCAATGAAGATAATTTTACAAGAGTGCACTGAAGCCAGTGCTTGAGCTACACAATTTATAGAATTATTCTGCAGTTCTGTAAACTTTTTTATTTTTAAATACAGATACAAAGAGTAATTGTGGATAGCATATGCATCAAGTTGATAAAGAGCTGAACCTGTGGTCAACAGAAGCAATGTTTGTCAGAAACATTTATCTGAACAGAAGATTTGTTTTTGGCTTTTGTTCATTTATGAAGCATTATGGTTCTCTGCAGAGATTTGTAACAGAAATTTTATTGGTACAGCTTTTCATTCTGTTGCCCAATGAAATATGCACTTAGCTGCTAATACTTGCTAATGTCATACAAAGAAGATGGTCAGAATTAATGGCTTAGATGCTGGATTTAAAATTTAATGTTGTAAGGCTGTGCTCATTTTAATTCAAAAGCCATAACTAATGCCAAGTACTTTATTAAAGCAGTATGTTCATGAAAAATTAAAAATCCCTGCCTGAAGAAATTGTTGGCCAAGTAGGTTAAAGTTCGCTTGAAATACTAAAAGAAATCATCTGTAGAAAAATGTGCCATTAAAAACTGGATTAAGTGAATGTCAGAGTCCGGCTGTTTAAACAGTAGAGCCAACAACCTGCTTCTTATAAGGAGCTCTAGGACCTTTAGGTTCATCTTCTTGACAGACTTGTATATCAGTAGAAATCATACAGTTTATATTTTGTTTTGTTGTGCAATGTATCGTTACCTGAAGACCTTTAACATTGTATGGACATTCTGAGAGAGAGACTGAAAACAAAGCATTTGTTAATGTGAAAAGGTGGGTGTGATGCTCTTTACATTTAGCAATATAAGCCTAGTGTTCTGAGTATGATCCATCTGCCTGGTGTCTCCTTTTCGGTGACAAAGGAGCATACTGTAGGGCTGCCATTGACATCTATGCAGCCAATTCTTTTCTCAGTGGTGAGAATATAATTGATAAAAATAAGAAAAAATGGGATATATTTATTGAAGCAGAATGCATTGTGGTAAGCACATCTGCGCAAACCATGTTTCCAAGTTGAATTTACTAACAGAATTCATTTTTCTTTCAAACAAGTTGGTTTAAGATTTGTAAATGAATGCAAATCCAAAGAATATTCTCAAATGTTTGAAATTTTTAATCAATGAAGTAGTTTACATGTAAAGCTGAAAAGGTCGGAGGTAATATATAAAAATCTATATGAAAAGCATCACTGTTCATGGATTTTATTTCCATCTCTACATTTCTCTCTGATCTACCCTTCATTTATCTCGGTCAGAAACCGATTACCATGATTCGCATACTTTGTGTGTGTACAGCATATATTTTCAGATGCAAATCTTTCTTGGGCTGTAATTGCCTGAAACTGAGTACTGTTTTGCCCAAGACTGCAAAATGATAAATTAGTGTGTGAAATCTTGGCCCCACTGAAGTTAATGTTGGTTGCCATTGACAGCAATGGAGCCAAAATTTACCTGAGGATTTGAGTTTCCAAGTTTTAAATTAAATTTATATAGTATCCTATTATAGGGATGAACAGCATCAAATAATAAAGAAAAGAGGTATTTTTAAGAAATGTCTAACTCTTAAAAAATGTAAAAAGATGCAAAAAGGGTCACATTTTAAGATTCCATGCATAAACAGTTGTGGTCCTGATAGTGTTTCTCCCAGTGTGAACTTCCGAGGTGTAACTAGTAGGAAGTTATAGTACTATTTCACATTTGATATTTCTCAGCTATAAAAAAGAAAGAAAAAAAAAATTCCATTTGTATACTCTTGTATGGTGATGTAAGGAATGTCCTATTTTCATCTCCACTGTCCTAGGTGATCAGCTATTCCCATTCTAAAGTGAAACATTCCCTGTAACAGGGTGTCTCCTCAATATCAGAGCTGAGGTAGGTTGGCAGGTTTGTTTAGGTAAATTATGTTTCTTATTCCACTGTTGTACCCATTCTGTGGATGAAAAATAGGGTTGCCTTTTTCCATTGCTGTGATCAGTGCTTCTCACAAGCACTGAAACTTGGAATGAAAAAGCTGAAAAGAATCTCTGGGGCTTGTTCTACAAATGAGTTTTGTTAATATTAGTCTATTTTGGATAGAGGTGTAACTTTTTTTTTTTTTTTAACCAAGAGTTACACTGATGATAACTTAGTGTGGAGACTTCTATACTGATGTGAGGTGGTAGTTATTTCCTTTCCTGTATAGGAGTAGCACTCATATTATGTCCACATTTGAAAGGCTTTTATACTGATTTAGTTTATCAGAATACAGATCATAACTTATTGGAAATAGTAGACTACTTATAACTAGCTGGATACAATTTTTTTTTCATTTTTATTTTTAAAATGTCTCAGGTTCATAGGGACACACTTACCTATTTTGCTCAATACAAATTCCAACTGGACTCAGACCCTGCAGCGGAAATGTAAACATGTCACACTGTAATCCCCCAAGGTAAAGCTTTTAAATTTCTTCCTGAATTAAAGCATGCAGTTACTGTTTTATATATAAAACATAATCTTGATCACAGAAATAGAACATATGGCTGACAATTTCAGGAGTGTGTAAGAGGTAAGAACCCAAATCGTGTTCATTTTAATGAACTATGTATCTAACTCTCTGAAAATCTGAGCTTGTATTGATTAAATATCCTTTATTATGCATCTATTTTAGCTACTAAGAATTATCTTTAGAACACTTAGAGTATTTTTGTGAATGATGTCCGGTTTGTGAGCTAGCTGGCTGGCTGGTATGAAAAAAAAAATTTGAACAGTGCCTGTATTTGTCACATTGAAATGCTCCGTGTTCCACTAAATTTTGGAGCACTTCAGTGCCATACTGACGTGTAGCTGTCTTATGTGCCCCTTTTGTGTGATTTTGAAGTGAGCCAGCATACTTTAAAATCACCTCCAAGGTATGCCATGGCTGTTCTCTCCAGGCTGGGTTGCAGTAGGGCAGCAGGGCTCAGCCATCTTTGTGTGTGTGCCACAATTAGATTATTTATGGGAAAAATTATAACACATTTATAATTTTCCATGTATGGAATCTAATTATTGGGAGGGGGTCATCTTAAAATATGTTGTTGTTTTGCATTTGGGTAAATATGGCACTTAGACTCACTATCTGACCTTTCTAAGGGTTAAAAATAGACATTGCCAGATAAATTGGATCAAGCTTTGGTGGGACAAGGAGGCATGTGTCCCAGCATGGACGCATGAGGTGGCAAGGATTCCCCAGGTCCCATGCCTCCATGCTGGAACTTGCATGAGCTTTCCTGGCTTACGGAAATGAGCCCCTGCAGCTAGGAAATGGGGAACTATGACTTTCCCTGCTTAAAGAAGGGTTCCTTGAGATCACCTGTGGTAAGTAGGGAAAATCTAGGAAGGTACTCCTGGGACTTGAGGGGCCTGATCCCATGTGGGAATTCCCCAGTGCACAGGATTGGTCCTCTCAATCCCCCAGAATTTGGGACTGCCCAGATTCTCCTGCCACAAAGCAAATAGACATCTCTTGCACTAAAGAGGCCCTATTGTAACACTACCTTTTCTCATCCCACTGATGTCAGGCGACATCCTGGGGTTGTTGGAAGGGGTGGGGGGGTTGTTTGTTTGTTTGTTTTTTTGCCTTAAGTCATTGCATTCAGTCAAAAGTGAAAGGCTGCCAGTCTAGAGAAAAAACTTACCTACTCTAAAAGACCAGTAGGGTTGCATCCAGATGAGCACGGCCATGCAGTATGTGGTGCTGCAGATAGGTCTGTGGTGCCACATACCACACATTCAGGTGTTCTCCATACTGCAAGGTAGCAGCATGGGGTGGGGGTTAACCCTGGGAGATTCCAGAGTTTAAAAAAAAACAAAATCCCGAAAAACCCCGCACAAAGAAAACAAAACACGGAGTCCTGCACAGGGGGGCAGTGTGTGCTGCCTAAAACGGGAGCCTATCCAGCTAGAGCTACACTCCAGCTACTGCTGCGAGTGGCAGGATCGCTGCTGCTGCAGTCCCAGGAGGCTCCCAGGACCCCAGATAAGGCTGCTGGGACCAGCCCAGTGCTGGCCCCAGCCTCTCCTATCCCACCTGGGGTAACCTGCCTTGTGCCAGGGGGCGCATAGCACAGGCGTTGCCCAGGAACAAGTAGCCGCTGCCTAAGGTGTGCCTCTGTTGCTTGTCCCTGGTAAAGCAAACATCCATTCTTGTGTGGACATGGCCTGGGAGTATTTCTATGAAAGCTTTGGGCAGTGCTGACAGCGGCAAAAGACCATGCACTCTTACTGGTGTGAAGGTAGTCTTGGTAGAACAGTGACCAAGTTTGTCCAAATCTAATCTCCAGTGTACTATATATATTAGATGGTTGGCTAGCTTTCACCTGGCAAGTATTGGTTCTGTAAAATAGAGCTTCCTTTTATGGTAGTGCAAGTGTTGACGGACTGAAAAACGGTTATTTTTTTTTTATCCTACTGTAAGCATAAAGGAAGACTGAAAGTATAAAAACAGAGCTTATGGCAGCAAAGGTAAAACAGCACTTCACGTGGAAAGGCTTCTGTGTTGAAATGTCTGTGTTGAAGATTTACATCTGGAGTGTAAAGAAGAGCTACCATTCCATGCATATGCTTTATGTACTATATGTCTATAAGAAACTTACCTACTCTAAAAGACCACTGGGACCACATTCAGACAAGCATGGCCATGCAGTATGTGGTGCTTCAGATGCATCTGTGCTGCCACATACTACACATTCAGGTGTTCTCCACGCTGCAAGGTAGCAGTGCGTGGGCGGGGGCGTTGACCCCAGGAGATCCCAGAGTGGAAAAAAAAACCCACACAAAAAAAAAGCAGAGCGGTGCACATGGGGCGCAGTGTGTGGCATCCAAAACCAGAACCTGACCAGCCAGAGCCATGCTTCAGTTACCGGCCAGGCTCCAAGGATATATCTATGCTCAAGAGACAGCATGGATAAGTGGCAGTTGTTTGGACACTGGTATGCAGTTTTGCAAAAGTAGAAATATCATTGTTTGCCTTTGATTCTGGATTTATTTAGGACAGTGGTCTTCAACCTACTAGGGTTCCACAGACGAAGTCTAAGGGGTCCATGAAAGGTGACTGATCAATCAAAAGTGTGCAAATACTCATGTTTACTATTTAAAGAGGTTCACAGCTCCATTTGAAATTTCCAAAGGGGTCCGCACCTCCATTCAAAATTTTTTAGGCATCTGCAGATGAAAAAGTGTTGTAAACAACTGGCCTGAAATTCTGTTTAGCATTCTTCTTAGGTCATAGTAAATTATATTTCTTATGATACCACATAAAGGTCTCAAGTTCTTATACAAAATAAGATAGTCCCTATCTTGCACACCACAATCTAAATTTGAGGAGAAAGATTAGAAAGGGAAGATGCAGGATAATGCTGTGAATAAAGACATCTCCTTTCTCCTAAGAGCCTGTTGTCCCAGGATGCTCTTGGCTTCTGGACAGAGCAGTGTTGCAAAGGTCTTTGCCTGCATTTCACTCTGCGGGGGAGGAACCAGTGAAAAGCTGGCAGGGGCTCCTCTTCTCCCCTCCTGGTCTATGGGAGGAGAAGTAGCAGCTGATTTCCATCCCCACTCCCCACCATATATTCTCCCAACTAGGGTGACTTCAGTCTCTGAAAGGCATGGAAGCCTTTTCCCCATGGCTCCACTCCCTAGTCCCTGGGAAGGATTAAGCAGCAGGAAAGTGTACAAGCATTCATTCTCTCAGGAGAAACTCTCCCAGGAGAGACTTCCTATTGGTTGAAGTCGGTTCATTTTTCACCAGAGTAGCCATTTTTGCTCCGGGAGAAAAAGCTAGAATATCTGTAGCCTTGTTGGTTCTGTCAGAAGAGCAGCGGTTCTACCAGTAGAAACAGAATGTATGAATGTGGCCTATTAATTGTGGCTCATCCAAGTTAATTTCTAAGTATTCCAGGAAAAGGCCTGTCAGTTGGTGTGCTCTTGCTGGCCACCTACTGGCACAGGGGCAGTAATTCAGCTTGGAAGGGCAATGTTAGTAAATGGCTGTGACGCTTGTGAGTTAAAAACTGGGCAATCAGGACTGCCTCAAATGAGATGTCCAGTTACAACCATTGAGAACATTTTCATAGATTTCAGACATTAGGGCTGGAAGGGACCTTGCAAGATCATCGGGCCCAGCCCCCTGGCCAAGGAGCAGGAAGTCAGCTGGGGTCAAATGATCTCA